GAGAGAGATTTTAAGGGAGGGAGCCGTTGGAAAAATAAGGACCAGTGAAATACTGTGACGTCACATTGGCAATGTAATTTGCAATGCTGCAGCACCCATTATATGATCTATGTCATTTTGATTGTATATAATATGTGACCATTGATGGGTCGAGTGCACGATAAATGTGAGAAGGCCGCTTTGATGCCTGATATTGATATAGTCAATGGACTGAGATTGTTCGGAATACCATTTCAGTGATAGCAATTTTTGAGCTCATAAAGGTTATACACAGTTTAAAGGAATCATATGGTTGCCCAAGTGGGAGATTGTTTGGATTTAATCTAATAAATCTATTTGTGGGCACATATGAATTAAACAATGTTGTATTGGCTATCCTTCAGGAAATACCCTAAAGGGGTGATCAATAAGTGGGTTAATTTGTGGTATTTAAAATAAGTCATGAAGGTTATAATGTGGCAAGGATATCGCAGGTTGTAATGTTATTTTATTGGGGCTAAATGTGTAAAAGTCAGCAACATCTATAAATAAGCTGGGTATTGGTCCTAAAGCGCTAAGGGTTACATTCTCTAATTCTCTGACACCGCCCATCTTAGCTAGAGAAATTCGGATGTTAGAGAAACCGCTAAGTTTAGAAGATTCAAATCATCTGGCAAGATCAAGCAATGGATTCAGGTAATAAAGGCTTCCGGCTCTTTTGATATTGTTAATCTGTAATCTCTTTGAATTAATCATGGCTATATGGTTTTAGATCTCAAGTTTTATGATGTAGATCTAACATAACTTTGATTGGAGGTTTCTTAAGTTTCATTCTGTTAAAAACTACGCATTCAGATTTTTCGATAGCTGGCATACTTTTAACAAGCCAACAGGATTCATGAAAGTTGGAAACACAGTCTATAATCTTAGACCAAATCCTTACATATCTGAATTAAGTTAAGAAACCACATCAGATATCTCATTATAGCTAGTGATTTCCACATCAGATATCTCATTATAGCTAGTGATTTCACTTGACCAATGACCTATACTCCTCAGGTCATGATTATTTTTCGTTCTTTGCAAACATTATAAAAAAATTGAATTAAAACCAGACCTCCTATAATTGTCTGCATTATAAACTTAAGAGAAAGAAAGAAAGAAGAATTCATGTAACCCATGTGTACTAGTTGCATGCAGATTCATCCTCCAAATTATAACATGATATAGGAACTTTTACATTCATCCTCCAAATTATAACATGATCTCAGTTTATGAACTTTACAGGTTAAGGCATTTCGGTTAGAGCCTGGACAGCGTGTCAGAAACCCAAGAAAGGGCGGCATCATCGACTCCGACGTCGATCGGAGAGGTTCTTGCGAGGGGAGATGGTACCCATGAGCGTCATCAAAGAGCTGGTGATCTTATGACCCATGGCGCTCCTATGGAGATGTTTGTTGGTAGGGGCTTGGCCACCAATTTTTCTCCTAGATGATGATGATGATCTTCTTCTTTACTTATGGGGGATGTCATCTACCTCTGCTTGTAATTAATTTCTTCTAACTACTAAGGTACTGTTTGGCAACCAAAAAAAGTATCTTATCTAAGAGCTTGTGTCTTATTGACTTGGTCAATAAGCTAGTAGAGCTGTTTGGTAACCAAAAATAGGAGGAGATTATTTTGGAGATTGTGTCTTTTTCAAGTAGCTTTTGGAAAGGGATTTGGATCCTCTCCACTACAAAAAAGTAGTGGAGAGACCACTACTTTTAATCTCAAGCGTTGATTATTTAGTAGGCGGTTATGATACAATCTAAATCTAACACTTATCATACCCCCGTGTATTGCACTCATTCCTAATTTGCACTAAAAGAAAAAATCATAACCATGAACTAGATAATCAATGGATGTGATTATGTAGTGGTCCCTCCACTATTTTTTTGTAGTGGAGAGGATCCGAATCCTTTGGAAAGCTATCTAATTTTTTCTTCTGTTTTTGCCCCTAATAATTCTAATTTTATATCAATAATATTACATGACTTTTTTAGTCATTTAACAAATTTAAGCTAGTTGTACAGCTTCTTTTGCCAAACAGCTATCAGCTACAATTTCATAGCTTTCAGCTACAATTTCATAGCTTTCAGCTAGCTTGACAGCTTTCAGCTATAATCTCGCAGCTTTCAGCTAGTTTTGCCAAACAGAGCCTAAGAAAAAAAATACTTAACACCATGCATATATTTATGTACAGTAATGAATTAATATAGTGAAAAAAAAATCTCCATTGTTCAAAAGCACGAAGATTTGGGGTTCTAATATGACAAAAACCCATTTACTTGTTTTTCCGTATATACACAGAGACATTGCATGACTCTGAAATAAACACAATATTGCATCTTTGCCTTCTTAATCAATCCCGAGGTTAATTGGACAAATATCAGTCACTAAAGAAATATTCGTTTGGTTAAAAAATGACTCTTTTTTAATAAATTCAATCAAAAGAATCTACATACCATCAAAGATGTGAAATAAGTTATTCATTTAGATAAAATTTCCTCCCCTTCACTTGAGAATTAAAAATGCAAATAGATTTTAGTAGTTGAATTTTGTAGTTGTCCTAACCATGAAAGTATGAAACCTTACTGTAATCTTTGCTATTATATGTCAATACTAGGTGCCATACTCATTTTCTTTAATGCATTTAGTTCGCACACTTTGTCTGATAAATTCAGAGAGATTTAGTTTAATTAGTATTTCTCTTAACAAAGCACGAAGTGGGGGGTATAAATAGATGTCATTACTTTCAAAACTTGTTATTGCATCACTATCATTCAATCTGAATGCTACAACGTAGCAATGACATCTAACACAATATCAAATGTAGTTAGAAAAATATGATATTCCAACTATACCCAACCAAACACACAAAACGACATTGATTCCTCTTCATTAAATTAGTTTTTCTCTACAGAAGATAAACCGTAGTCAATTAAACGAACTTGACAATCGTATGCTCTATCCGGAATCCTTTTGTTATGATATTGTTTTAAAATCAGCTACCCAGTTAATACAAAATTTACCGTGACGTCATCGGCATGGGATTCGCTCTTCCCTTCTCGTCCACAAACGACAAATCACAGGCACCTGCCATCATCGACTGCCTTTTAAGACGTGCGAAGGAACACCTTAACAAATGTTCCTCCGCGAGGCAACTTAAACGCTGAATGCGGCCTACCTTCTTATCCTCAATCGGACGTTATTATACTAACCAGTCCCCTTTCATTTCACGTGGGCCACACCACAGTCCGACCTTTTCCTAAAAACTGTTACCCGAAGTTATCTCCACGTGGCATCACACGATTCGATCGTTCTGCCTGCTCCCTGTTTGGCGTGAAGAGCGCGTGAACGAGGCGCGACTTATTACGTGCCATGCAGATGAGTTGGATTTTATTTGATTGACGCCCTCTCAATTCACCTATTTCAGTATCAACCCCTCGTATCTTTAAATTTTTTTTTGTTGATACCCTTGTTGGAGGGATTAATTTGTAATAAATTACAAAATTTTGGTAGCCTGATAACAACTTCGATGCTCTGAGGAACTGATTTCAAAATATTAAAGAGCAAGGGGCCGACGCCGAAATATCACGGAAGAAAAGATTTGAGAAAGGAAAGACTTAAAAACGAGGACAGCGTGTCAACCATAAACGAAGTACATCTCGCTTCCGCTCACCCCTGCTGCACGTGGGCCCCACCTGTAAGTCAAAGAGCGTAGGCCGTAGAAACCGCGAAGACAACAGTTAGCGGTAACCCTAAAGGCCGGTGACCACATCTCTCTCGCTCACCCGAACAGCAGCAGCAATATAAACGACGACGCCAAGACAAACAAAGCAGACGCCTCCCCTTTTTTTTTTTACATATAAAACCCCTTTCTTTCCTCATGATTGCGAATCACGCGATCTCGTATTCTTCTTCATCTTTCTAGGGTTTTGAGTCGTCGGATTCTCGATGTCGACGACGACTTCGACCGCTGCGGCCGTTCCCGCCACTGCTAATCTCAAGATCTGCTTCAATTCTCTGTGTAAGGAGCCCAAATCGGAGGCTCAGAGGCGAAAGGGGTGGAAGCTTCGATCGGGCGATCATGCTGAGCTCTGCGACCGATGCTCGTATGATTTCTTACCATCTCTTTCGGTTTGATTTGTTGGGATTTGGGGGTTCTCACTGTTGAGTTTTATGTCCTGATTATTATTTAGGGTTAAAGATTGGTTCTTTAGAGTTATTATTGATTAGTGTGTTAATCTGTGCTGTTAGTTGCGCTTACGAGCAAGGGACATTTTGTGAGACTTTTCACTTGGATGCTGCTGGTTGGAGGAAGTGCGAGTCTTGTGGAAAGGTGAGAGATAGAGTATTTGGTTTCTGGGAGACATTTTTGTTATGTAATCTGATTTGGGGATCCTTTGACAGAGAGTTCATTGTGGGTGCATAGTTTCCGCGTCTTCTTACGTGCTACTCGATGCTGGAGGGATCGAATGCATCTTATGTGCGAAGAAAACGTTGTCTATGGTATGGAAAACAAAATATAATCTGTTCAAAGTTAGTGTTGGTTATTTGAGCTTCCCCCCCTGCTAAACATGATGCTGCTTGGTTACCGTCCCTTTTTTCTGTTATGTCTGATATCTTTGACAATTTAGTGAGTTCGTGACATTTCAGGTTACTATTGAGTATTGACGTAACTGCCATTGAACCCTTTAGAATATGACCATTTGTTGGCTTTGATTTTTTTTTTTACAGATAATTTTATCTAGTACTATATAGTTAAAGTTGCATAATGTGCTCATATATCAGCAGCGATTTGTTGTTGTGATATTTGAACAGCTAGTGAAGAATTCTGTAGATATAATGTCAGAGTCACATGACATAGTCACACAAACAGGCTTAAATAACAAAATATGACAAACTACAAGCAGAGTCCTTATTTTGTAGAAAGAAAAGGCTTATGGATGATTATGAGAAAAACATTTATTAGTAAGTTATCCAGCTGTAATGTTTTTAAAGTATCTGAAGGCAAATCTTATGACAAAGGCTCTTTTCGTGAGAGGAGGATTCCTTTCCAATGTTGTAAAAGTGGGAAAAAAGCGCTTTTGTCTTCGTTAAGGACTAAAAGTGCTCAAAAAGTGCTTTCAAGACGGAAGAGACCTAAAAGCAACCCAAAGCGGCCTAAAAGCTGCTCGAAGCTGCTAAGACTGCATAAAAGCCTGCTAGTGTTAAGGAATTGGACCTCTTTATGTGGTTTTTTTTATGTTCACATGGTTTGTCCCTTTTTTTCTTAAAAGGATTCTACTTGATATCTGAAAGAAACTTGGAGAAATATAATGATGATTTTATTTATGAGGTATTTTTCTTCCCTTTGATGCTTTACATTAGGTCATTACTTTGTTGACTATGCGATATGCACAAGGTTTTAAATATCGGTTATCGGGGATTTATCGGATGGTCAAAATCCATATCAGATAGCAGATATTGGGGATATATCGGAGATGAGTAGTGTTTATCTGAGTGACATTACTGGATGATGATATACATAATATAATATTCTAAAATGTAATCTAACCATACTTAATAAAGTATAAACATACCAAAATGTAAATAATTATGTTTAGGATCACTAACCAATGGTAGAAACTCGGGTTGGCTCACGTTTAAAGTGCATTGAATATGTGCTCGTTGCTCGAAATAAAAAGTCAAACCAAAGACTTATAATTCTGATTTTTGGGCCGACAATATCGGCCGATAGCTCACCTTATCGCCGCATTATCGGCGATAAACATCCAAAAACGATAACCAATTTAGAATCGAACTTATTATAGCGGAAGACCCTCAAAACCGGTAAATCGCCGATAATATCTGTTTATCAGCCGATACTTAAAACATTGGATATGCATATCAAATTAAATGTTATTTTATCTCATTACAGTGTGTATGGTATTTAACAATATTGTGTGATTTAATCTGAGTATTATTACACATCTATGTCATGCTTAGGATCTGTACAGATAATCTTATCTGCATGTGTAGAATTGTTTCCTCCATTTTTGTTTATTTTTATAATTTTGACTTTTTCTCCTATTTCTTTTTCTTATTGTTGGAACTTTCTCTATATTTAAAAGAAAAAAATTGACTTGATGCTTTTTTCCGCTTTAGCCCACTTACGTCCAAAAAAGCCTTTCCGCTTTAGCCCACTTACATCCAAAAAAGCCTGAATCGTTTCTTGCTGCTTCACTTCGCTTCCGGCTTTCTATACCCTTGTTCCCTTCATGAGACAAAAGACTTGTTCCCACTGGAAAAAAACTGGACATGTTATTCATTTTTCTCAAATGGGATGGTAACAAACAACCCATATTTTGCCATATTTTGTAAGTTCTGGTCTATATTTGGCAATATTTGAGTATCGTGAGTTTCAGCCTATATCAACTGATATAGCTTGAAACTAGCTGCAAAAATCTGCCAGCAAATCTAGAAACTTAGAAAAGATATCGATGAAAATCCCTAATTTAGAGGAAAGAGAGAGGGGGGGGGGTGAGGGAGAGAG